TCTTGAAGTTGATCTATCAGCTCATCAGTGGTTAGTTCTTCATTGTCCTCCTCCACCAACTCTTCCACATCATCCCCACTAACCTCCAACCCTAAGGACTTTCCCAATGCCACAATGGATTCCTCAACTGGCATAATCCTCTCAGGGTTAGCCTCAAACCCTTCAAAATCCCTTTTGTCTACACATTCTGGCCACAGTTTCTTCCAAGCAGAGTTCAGGTCTTCTTAGTCACTCCCTCCCAAGCCTTACCTATAAGGTTTACACAATTGAGGATATTAAAGTGATCTCTCCAAAAGTCTCTTAGAGTCAGTTGAGTTTCTGAGGTCACTACAAAGCACCTTTCAAACAGAGCTTTTGTGTACCATTTTTTGAAGTTTGCAATAACCTGCTGGTCCATGGGCTGCAGGAGAGGAGTGGTATTAGGAGGCAAAAACTTCACCTTAATGAATTTCATGTCCCCATAAAGTCGCTCTGCCACGTCTGTAGGATGACCAGGGGCATTGTCTAACACCAGGAGGCACTTAAGTTCTAATTTCTTTTCAGTTAGGTAATCTTTCACATTGGGGGCAAATGCATGGTGTAACCAGTCATAGAAAAAGTCCCTAGTGACCCATGCCTTACTGTTTGCCCTCCACAGCACACACAAATTCTCCTTGAGGACATTCTTTTGCCTGAACGGTCTGGGAGTTTCAGAGTGATACACTAATAAAGGCTTCACTTTGCAATCACCAGTAGCATTGGAACACATCAACAAAGTAAGCCTGTCTTTCATAGGCTTATGTCCTGGGAGTGCCTTTTCCTCCTGAGTAATGTAGGTCCTGCTTGGCATTTTCTTACAAAACAGGCCTGTTTCATCACAATTAAACACTTGTTCAGGTTTCAGTCCTTCAGTTTCTATGTACTCCTTGAATTCCTGCACATATTTTTCAGCTGCTTTGTGGTCCGAACTGGCAGCCTCACCATGCCTTATCACACTATGTATGCCACTACGCTTCTTAAATCTCTCAAACCAACCTTTGCTGGCCTTAAATTCACTCACATCATCACTAGTTGCAGGCATTTTTTTAATTAAATCCTCATGCAACTTCCTAGCCTTTTCGCTTATGATCGCTTGAGAGACGCTATCTCCTGCTAGCTGTTTTTCATTTATCCACACCAATAAGAGTCTCTCAACATCTTCCATCACTTGCGATCTCTGTTTCGAAAACACAGTTAAACCTTTGGCAAGAACATCTTCCTTGATTGCCTTTCTGTTGCCCACAATAGTAGAGATGGTTGATTTGGGTTTCTTGTACAACCTGACCAGGTCGGCGACACGCACTCCACTTTCATACTTATCAATGATCTCTTTCTTCATCTCTATTGGAATTCTCACCCTTATTGCTGTAGGGTTGGAACTAGAAGCTTTCTTGGGGCCCATGGTCACTTATTTTCCAGATAAAGCACCGAAAACACTGTAATAATACGAAATATTCCGATTGTATGCTTGGATGTTACCGCGGAGGCTGGCTGGTAAACAATGCCACCGGCGGAACATATGAGGCTGGCTCAGGCCGCACATTGGACGCGTCTCGGACGAAGGGCGGTGAGCGGGTTTTTGGGCGGTATGCGAGGCAAAATTTTAGCTATCAAAGCGTCCGGTATGCGGATTTTACGGTATGCGATGAGTACGGTATGCGGGGGTCCACTGTATAAGAGTGTAGCATTTACTGTCATTTGCATGTTTGTGAGGCAGAAAGAAAAGTTCAGCTATCAGAGTGCAAAACATTAACAAACTTTTGCTTATGAAACATTAACAAACTTTTGCTTCACATTTGTTTGACAGGACAATAGTACTGCCTTTTTGAGTGAAGGCTTCTTACATGCTAGTGTCCAGGGTTTCACCTATTCACCACAACTGAATATTATCACTTGCTTGCAGTTGTCTTGTCAATGTAATGATAATGGCAACATTACCAGTAATTTCTATAATTCATTTTTAGTGCTGCCTCTAAATGATTATGGTCACTCTTAATATTCAGTCTTGTATTAATTTGTTGAAAGAAAATAACTAGCAGTGACTGCATAAATCCTAGGTAGTAGGTTGGTAAACAGCAACCGCCCAGGGAGGTACTACCGTTCAGCCAAGTGAGTGTACAACGAAAACCTGTAATTGTTTTACATGATGGTAGGATTGCTGGTGTCTTTTGTCTGTCTCATAAACATGCAAGATTTCAGGTACATCTTGCTACTTTTACTTGCACTTAGGTCACACTACACATACATGTACAAGCATATATATACACACCCCTCTGGGTATTCTTCTTTTTTCTTTCTAGTTCTTGTTCTTGTTTATTTCCTCTTATCTCCATGGGGAAGTGGAACAGAATTCTTCCTCCGTAAGCCATGCGTGTTGTAAGAGGCGACTAAAATGCTGGGAGCAAGGGGCTAGTAACCCCTTCTCCCTATAAATTACTAAATTTAAAAAGAGAAACTTTTGCTTTTCTTTTCGGGCCACCCCGCCTTGGTGGGATACGGCCGGTGTGTTGAAAGAAAGACTGCATAAATATGAACCACATCACAAATATCAGAATTGTTTGCAAAAAATTCGAAGTTTAAGTTATCAGTTGTAGGGATTAGTGTTGTGGACGTGTTATAATGGGGCTTATATGGGCATTTTAAGTAGGAATTTATAGCCTAAATTAATATTAATTATTCATGTGTGGCTTGTCTGTAAGTTGAAAAATGATGATAAATCCTGAGGCAGTTGTAATTAAATTGGCAGTTTCCTTGGAGATTGCTTGCTTCAGAATTTACTTATATTTCTTTCAAAGCAAGAGGCACTATACATTTAAGTTCATTGTTTCACAAACCATAATAATTCAGGAGTAAATGGTAGCATGTTCTGATGGCAAAACAAACTACATGTTGAACCACATAACTTATTTTTTGATGTATAAGGAGTACTTTTTTCCCCAAGAAAAGTCTTGGCAAATCACCCTGCACCTTATATGCTCAAAGTCAGGGTCAAGGGTAGGCTTTGGGTTACTGGCAAGTGGTGTTTTATAAAAGAATGTGCAGTTCATCATAGTAATAAAGTTGTAGTACAGTGGACCCCCGCTTAACGATCACCTCCAAATGCGTCCAATTATGTAAGTGCGTTTGTACGTGTATGTTTGGGGGTCTGAAATGGACTAATCTACTTCACAATATTCCTTATGGGAAAAAATTCGGTCAGTACTGGCACCTGAACATACTACTGGAATGAAAAAAGTTCGTTAACCGGGGGTCCACTGTACTTGTAATGCTCATTCATCATGTATGCTAGAAAAATACGGTACATTATGATTTACTTCAGTAGTCTCAAACTTTTTCACAGACGTTAAAGTATCCAAAGAAGAAGTAAGGAACTTAACATTGGTCCAGGATGGACTGAAATATCTAAGTTTGGTATCTAAATTGTGGTTTAGTTTGAGTTATTCCAACTACAATATTGTGAATTTTTATTCTTCAAGCTAATACTTTGTTGGCATAAAAATCAGTAGAACCAGATAACATAACACTATTGGTTTTAAAAGAATATGTAAATCTGAGATATCTGTTTTGTACAATTTGAGCATTTTGTTGCAAGTAGGTAAACTGGCAGAAAAATGGAAAAAATGACATGCATGCTGATTTTTAGCAGCAATCATTTGAACTACAAGCATATCTTATTGACAAGCACTGTTGTGGAGATAGTTGAACAAGCCATTGGAAAAAATATAATAAAACACTGGAAAACAAAAATTTGCTAATTTTTTTTTTTCAACAAACCGGCCGTATCCCACCAAGGCAGGGCGGCCCAAAAAGAAAAATGAAAGTTTTTCTTTTTAAATTTAGTAATTTGTACAAGAGAAGGGGTTACTAGCCTCTTGCTCCCGGCATTTTAGTCGCCTCTTACAACACGCATGGCTTACGGAGGATGAATTCTGTTCCACTTCCCCATGGAGATAAGAGGAAATAAACAAGAACAAGAACTAGAAAGAAAATAGAAGAAAACCCTGAGGGGTGTGTATATATATGCTTGTACATGTATGGACTTCCAGCAAGCATGCATGAGCGTGTTAGATAGGAAGTGAATGAGAGACGAATGAATACTTGGGGACCCTAGAGATCTGTTGGAGTGTGAGCAGGGGTAATATTTTAGTTGAAGGGAATTCAGGTGAACACCGGTTATTTTCATATAGTCTGGACTTGAGTCCTAAGCTGGAATTAATGGGAGAGTACACACAATGCCTGCACTTTAAAGAGGGGTTTGGAATTCATTGGGCAGTTTGGAGGGAATATGTTTTTTTATACTCTATACGTATATGCTTCTAAAAACTGTTATATTTCTGAGCTACCTCCTGCAAAAGCAGTGATAATGTGTGAGTGTGGTGAAAGTGTTGAATGATGATGAAAGTATTTTCTTTTTGGGGATTTTCTTTCTTTTTTTTTGGGTCACCCTGCCTCGGTGGGAGACGACCGACTTGTTGAAAAAAAAAAAAAAAAAAAAAATGTATGTGTAGTGTGACCTAAGTGTAAGTAGAAGTAGCAAGATGTACCTGAATCATCTTGCATGTTTATGAGACAGAAAAAAGACACCAGCAATCCTACCATCATGTAAAACAAGTACAGGCTTTCGTTTTAAACACTCTTGGTAGGATGGTAGTACCTCCCTGGGCGGTTGCTAAGTGGGAAGTACATTATGGATTCATACTGCACCATGCACAGCACCTGCATAACATTATTCATTATCATTTTTATAAAGGATGACCCATGAATTCAGCTTAGTCATTGTAGTAAATCTGTGACTCATTAGTTAACATTCATACTGTTGACTTTACACAATGCTGCTTGTCTCAATTTTTTCTAGTGTTGTATGCATTATTTTTCAATATGCAAAGCATATTATTATGAATATATTCCATATAGTATTAATTATTTTTCCACATGAAATTTGCAGCAGGTTTAGTTATAATAAGAGACATTTTTTCCCTAAGATTAAAATTGAACATCTTAAAAAAGAGAAAGAAAATGCAGAAGCCATTCGTACAGAGAAAGAAGACATTAAGAAGGCTGCAGAAGAGCCAGAGAAGCTAGCGTTAGAAAAATATCAAACTGCTGAACAAGAAAAGAAGGCAGTAGCTGAGGAGGAAGAAAAGAAGAAAGATGAGCAGGAGGCCAGGGAGGCCTTTGCTCATCTCGACAACAATGGCGATGGCTACTTGACAGTTGATGAACTTCAGTCCCGGCAAACTTTCGATACAAATAGGGATGGACATGTTTCAGAAGAAGAGGCTAAGGTTAGTGTATATTTATTTTATATGCTTTTTAAAAAAAATTGGGCCAAAGCTTTGAAATGAAAATTTGTTTTTACCTTGATAGATAAATTTGAACCAAGGCAGGGTAACCCAAAAATGGGAGCTTTCACCATCATTCATTCAACTGCTGTTTTGCCAGAGGTGTGCTGACATCACAGTTTAAATGATCCTCCAACTACAGCATCCCCATCACTCCTTCAGAGTGCAGGCAGTGTACCACCCACTTTGAGGACTCCATATTTGGCTAACTGGTTACCCTTACTCCATTCATGTATGTAACCTTGCTCACACACTAATGGCACACGAAGTCATAAATAGAACATATTTTTGTTATTATAATGTGTTTTCTCATTAGCCATATTAAGATGTTTACATTGCAATTTTTTTTTTATAACCATCTTAATAAATTGAAAAGTAATATATTTTAGAGTATGGTTCATACATGCTATTCAGTGATGCAATTGACAGACTTTACATAGGACATTCAGATAACCATTTAGAAAGAAAGAAAGAGGCACAATACTGAGACTGGAACAATACACAAATAACCTGCACATAGGAGAGAGGAGCTTACAGTGATGTTTCAGTCCAACTTAGATCACTTACAAAGTCACACTTGACTTTATAAATGGTCCAAGTTTGATCGAAACATCATCTTAAGTTCCTCTCATGTGCAGGTTGTGTAGATAAACATTTACAGTGGAGGTGTTTCCACCTTAGGCAAGGTGACCCAAAAAAGAAACACTTTCACCATGATTTACACTATCACTATCTTGCCATAGGCACTCAGATATGACAGTTAAGATGCCCCTCTAAACAGCCAATATCCCAAACCCCTCCTTTAGAGTGCAGGCACTGTACTTCCCACCTCCAGGACTCAAGTTCAGCTAACCAGTTTCCCTGAATCCCTTCACAAAATATTACCTTGCTCACAATCCAACAGCTCATCAAGTCCCAAAATCATTTGTCTCTACTTCTATCTAACATGCTCACACATGCCTGTTGTATGTCCAAGCCCCTTGTTCACAAAATATACTTTACCCCCTCCCTCTATTCTTTCCTACAGCATCCCCTACCCAGCCTTCCCTCCACTGCAGATTTATACACCCTCCAAGTCATTCTATTTTGCTCCAGCCTTTCTAAATGACCACACCACCTCAACAGTCTTGATAATACTTTTAATAACTCCACACCTCCTCCTAATCTTCCAGCTATGAATTCTTTCCATAATATTTATGCCACACATTGCCCTCAGACATGACATCTTCACTGCCTCTAGCCTCCTCTCCCACGGCAACATTTTCAACCCATGTTTCACACCAATATAAGAGTGTTGTACCATTATACTCTCATACATTCCTTTCTTTGCCTCCATGGATAATGTTCTTTGTCTCCACAAATACCTCAATGCACCACCTACCTTTTTACCTTCATCAGTTATATGGTTTACCTTGTCTTTCATATATCCATCTGCTGACACTTTTTTAACTCATTTGATACCCTCATGACCTTACTCTTATCTATGTTCATATTCAACTTTCTTCCTTCACATGCCATCCCAAAATCGTCCACAGACCTTTGCAACTTCTCTTCAGAATCTCCCAAAATCACAGTATCATGCCTAAGGGCAATGTGTGGTGTAAATATTATGCAGAGATTTCGTAGTGTGGAAATTAGGAGATGTGGAGTTACTAAAAGTATTAGTCAGAGGGCTGAGGAAGGGTTGTTGAGGTGGTTTGGTCAGTTAGTGAGAATGGAACAAAGTAGAATGGCTTGGAGAGCATATAAATCTGTAGGGAAAGGAAGGTGGGGTAGGGGTCATCCTCATAAAGGTTGGAAGGAGGGAGTAAAGGAGGTTTTGTGGGTGAGGGGCTTGGACTTCCAGCAAGCACGTGTGAGCATGGTAGATAGGAGTGAATAGATACGAATGGTTTTGGGACCTGACGAGCTGTTGGAGTGTGAACAGTGTAATATTTTGTGAAGGGATTCAGGGAAACTGGTTAGCCGGACTCGAGTCCTGGAAGTGAAAAGTACAATGTTTGCACTTTAAAGGAGGGGTTTGGGATATCGGCTGTTTGGAGGGACATCTAAACTTTTGTAACCGAGCGCTTCTGCAAAGACAGTGATTATGTATGAGTGATGGTGAAAGTGTTGAATGATGAAAGTTTTTTCTTTGTTTTTGGGATTTTCTTTCTCTTTTGGTCACCCTGCCTTGGTGGGAAACGGCCGACGTGTTAAAAATAAACTTTTAACACCTTGAATCCTCTCTAAATTAACAGTTATGCTGCTGTGGAATCATTGTTTCAACAATAGCAGTTGAGGTAGACCTTATTCATTCTGATAAATTAGGATACAGCAGCTAACTGGGCAAGCCTTTGCTACAACAAATTTTAACAAATTTCTGCTTTGATAGTTCTACCTTAGGCAAGGGGATATCATGTCAAAGGATGACTTCTTCAACTCTGGATGGCTAATGATGCGGCCTGTCTACAATATGGACAAGAGAATGTTCACACCTCCTTCGTCCACCCCAACCCCTCCTGAGGAGAGTCTCACTCCACCCCCACCTGTGTTTGATGAGGTATGTTGTCATATGTCTTCATTTATGATGCTTCATACTAGCCTTGGAAAATGGAATGGCTTTAAATCTAAACTTAGGTCCGTGAAAGTCTTAAAAATTGTAACTTCTTGCTCATTAGATATGTCTGTCAGTTAGAATGTAATATTAATGACTTCATTGTCTCTCTATGTAGCCTGCCTAATGTTCGAATTGGATCAAGTTTGTTAATAATGATAAACCCATTATATCTTTTACTTGCTAATTATGGTAATAATCCTTAGTGTCAAGAATCTGACATGGATCATTAAATCATTCATATTCATTTGGTCCTTTGGTAGAACAAGAAGAAGAGTTAATTGTTTTCCCTGAAGTACAGTTTGAGCATACCACTATTAACAAATGTATAAAAGTTACTTTTTGTTGCATCCAACTTAATCTTATTTGATTCTGAAAAGAAAGAATGTTTTATTCTACTTATACAGTGAAACCCCAAGTTTCGGCATTAATTCATTCCAGGAGCTAGGCCTAAACTCGAAACGGCCAAAAGCTGAAGCAATATTTCCCATAAATAATGTAAATACAATTAATCCGTTCCAGACCCACAAAAATATTCTCAAGAAAATATAATGTTTAAAGAATAACTATAGCTTAACATATACATAGTACATAAATGAGTATTGAAAGTAAAGACACATGTGCAACATCTGGATATCTTTATTGTAGACGTTTCACCATCCAGTGGCTTTATCAATACAAATTCTAGGACATAATTGGAAGACTGTAGAACTATATACAAAAGATGAGGTAATCAGTCCCTCAGCCTTGGAGTTAGTGTTCACAGCATCGTGGTGGAGGAGAATCTGGAGCAAAGGCAAGAAGACTGGTGGTTATATAGGCGCCTATGTAACCTCCAGTCTTCTTGCCTTTGCTCCAGATTCTCCTCCACCACGATGCTGTGAACACTAACTCCAAGGCTGAGGGACTGATTACCTCATCTTTTGTATATAGTTTTACAGTCTTCCAATTATGTCCTAGAATTTGTATTGATAAAGCCACTGGATGGTGAAACGTCTACAATAAGGATATCCAGATGTTGCACATGTGTCTTTACTTTCATATTGTTGGTATTTTATACCTTTCTTGCACATAAATGAGTATTAAATGAGTAATACAATACATAAATAAACATTTAATTAAGCATTTAAAATCACATTTACGTACCTTTATTGAAGACTCGTTTGCATCTGGAAGATAGGGAGGAGGAGAGAGGGAGGACTTATTATTGCCTCAACCACTGCCACTATGAAGTTTCTTTGGGCCCATGGTGGCTTATTTCACAGTCGCAATCAATAAACAAGCACTAAACACAATGAATTTATTGTGAAACGTTCAGATGAGCACACAGGGTAATGTTCACTCAAGGATAAATAAGCTAGACTGGCTCATGGCGCCTGCGAATGGAGGCGCGGGCAGGTGAACGGGTCTGGTACGCCGGCCGAAACACGGGGCAACGGCCAAAACTCGGGACAAAATTTAGCCGAAAAAAGCAGTCAAAACTCAAAGCAGCCGATACTCAGGGCAGCCGAAACTCGGGGTTCCACTATTTTGTGTGGTGCAAACCATTCACTCCAGCACTCTAGGGACTGAGACCCTACTGATTGTCTGGACTTACCTAAAAAATGTACTCTTTAATAAGATTAGTTCCTTCAATTCCCTGTTATAGGCTTGGGTCCCTTACTAACTTATCTTAGGCTTAGTTCTCATAATAGCCAATCATCCACGTAGTTCTCTTAATAGCTTATCAGTAGCAAATATTTTCTGTTGGCATTAGCACAGATGGATGACATAAAAGGACTATGTAAGTATACTGTAAACTTATAATAATGGGATGTAGAAAGTGTGAGCATGTGAGAGAAAAACTGAGTGAGCCAGTGTGTCAGTGAGTGAGTGAGGGAGGGAGAAGATTGCTATACTGGTGCCCCAGTGAAATTAGACACATGTGCAACTCTTGGGTATCTTTATTGGGGATAAAGATACTCAATAAAGATACCCAAGAGTTGCACATGTGTCTAATTCAACATGTCGGTTCTCTGAACCATTCATCTACAGCCCCAGTGAAAGTTGAGTTTTCTTTATTATAATGCAGTACTGTAATTGTTTTAAATATTTCATTAAAATGTGTTTATTTACAATGGTTAATTGTAATTAGGAATAAAATCAAATTAATTGTTTAGGTAGTAAGGCAGGAGATGGTATCTTGTTATCCATGGCTCAAAGTTGTGTTCATATTGGGGCTCAGAACACAGTATGACACTTGGTTGGTACTTTCAACCAGAAGTATCATGCAGCACAAATAGATTTAAGAATATAGTTTATGCCTTTAATTATTTAATGTAAAATTTATGCAGGGGATCGTACTCCATTGTAAATTTACGCATAATTTTTATGCCTTCAAATTTGATACCTGCTGACATTTTGTGCTTCAGCTCAACTGTTTAGATGTTCTATCATCTCTTCTCAACTAAGAAAAAAATTTAGGGCCAGGCAGGTCCATGGAGTGTCTTTTGGATAACAGTGCCTCTTAAGCACATGGGAACAGTTTGTGTAATGTGACACTCTTCATCTGTGTTAAGTTTTTGTTAGTGTACTCATTAAGAGTATATGTTTAAAATGAATGGGCTGTATTGTTAGTTACTTTATGCCCAGGTTATTTTGTTAGGGCTGTTAAGGCTGCATTTCACCTCTGTACCACCAATCGGCAATTTTTTAAACTAAAATGCATGCATACATGCATGCATACATACATACATACATACATACATACATACATTTTTTTTTTTTTTTTTTTCAACAAGTCGGCCGTCTCCCACCGAGGCAGGGTGACCCAAAAAAAGAAAGAAAATCCCCAAAAAGAAAATACTTTCATCATCATTCAACACTTTCACCACACTCGCACATTATCACTGTTTTTGCAGAGGTGCTCAGAATACAACAGTCTAGAAGCATACACATATAAAGATACACAACATATCCCTCCACACTGCCAATATCCCAAACCCCCCCTTTAAAGTGCAGGCATTGTATTTCCCCTTTTCCCAGCTCAAGTCCGCTATATGAAAATAACCGGTTTCCCTGAATCCCTTCACTAAATATTACCCTGCTCACATCCAAACGTTCGTCGGGTCCCAAGTCCCTTCGTCTCCTTCACTCCTATCTAACACCTATGCACGTTTGCGGGAATCAACCCCTTACCCACAAAAACCTCCTTTACCCCCCCCTCTCCAACCTTTCGGGCGACCCTCCCCGCCTTCCTTCCCCATAATTTATTGCTTTCCATTCTTCATTTTAAACCCATTCTCTCTAAATGACCAAACCACCTCAAAAAACCCTCTTCTCCCTCTGCTAATCTTTTATTAATCCCCTTCTCCAAATTTCCACACTCCGAATTTTCGCATAATTTTCCCCACACTTTCCCCTTAAACAGGACTCTCCCGCCCCCAACCGTCTCCTCGCCTCATTTACCACCCCAAATTCACACCCATGTAAGAGTGTTGGTACTACTAACTTTCATACATTCCCCTTTTTTTGCCCCATAGATAACTTTTTTTACTCCACAAACCTCCGCCCCATCACCTTTTTTCCCTATCAATTTTATGATTAAATCCTTCAAAAACCATCCCCCGACACGTCAACTCCAAATATCTGAAAACATTCACTTCTTCCTATCCTCCTCCCCCAAATTTTATATCCAATTTTTTTTTATCTAAAATCATTTGACACCCCCATCCCTTACCTTTTTCTTGTTCACTTTCAACTTTCTACCCTTTACAACATTCCAAACTCATCCACTAACCTTTGCAATTTTTCTTTAGAATCTCCCATAAGCACAGTATCATCAGAAAAAAGTAACTGTGTCAATTCCCATTTTGAATTTGATTCCCCATAATTTAATCCCACCCCCTCCCAAACACCCTAGCATTTACTTCCTTAACAACCCCATCTATAATATATTAAACAACCATGGTGACATTACACATCCCTGTCTAAGACCTACTTTTCCCGGGAAGTAGTCTCCCCTTTTTCTACACACCCTAACCTGAGCCTCACTATCCTATAAAAGCTCTTTACAGCATTTAGTAACTTACCACCTATTCCATAAACTTGCAACATCTGCCACATTGCTCCTCTATCCACTCTATCATATGCCTTTTCTAAATCCAAAAATGCAATAAAAACTTCCCTATCTTTATCTAATACTGTTCACATATATGCTTCAATGAAAACACCTGATCTACACACCCCCTACCCTCTAAAACCTCCTTGCTCATCCGCAATCCTACATTCTGTCTTCCCTCAAATTCTTTCAATTATAACCCTACCGTACACTTTTTTTGGGTTTATACTCAGTAAGTTATTCCTCTATAATTTTTACAGTCTCTTTTGCCCCCTTTCCCTTTATATAAAGGGACTATACATGTTTCTCTGCCAATCCCTAGGTACCTTCCCTCTTTCTACATTTATTAAACAAAAGGTACCAAAACCCCTCCAACCTATATCCCCCCTGCTTTTAAATTTCTGTCATGATCCCATCAGTTCCAGCTGCTTTTACCCCCTTTCATTTTACGTAATGCCTCACGTACCTCCCCCCCACTTACATTCTTTCTCTTCTTCACTCCTAAAAAGATGGTATACCTCCCCTGACCAGTGATGAAATTACTGCCTCTGTTTCTTCCTTTAAAATTTAAAAGTTCCCCAAAATATTCTCGCCATCTACCCAATACCTCCATCTCCCCATTACTAACTCCCCTACTCTGTTTTTAAACTGACAAATCCCTATTTTCCCCAGGCTTCTTAACTTGTTTAAATCACTCCAAAATTTTTTCTTATTTTCATTAAAATTTTTGACATGCCTCTCCCCCTCTATCATCTGCTTCCTTTTGCACTCTCTCACCCTCTCTTTCTTTCTTTTACTCTCCATATACTCTGCTCTTCTTATAACACTTCTGCTTTGTAAAAACCTC